AACGTAAAAACATTTTTTATTCATAACCCCATTCTCCTATCCGCCCGATCATTAGCACAATTCCAATTATTAGGAATGGATGGTTATATTTCTTGTTTAGGACGATTTACAATGATTGTTAGGCTAGCCAGGAGGCTACAGGCCTACCAAAATGAGGATCAACATATATTTCTTGGCATGATAAATAAGCCTATCTAGTTATTGCTTATATTTGGCCTATCTTCCTTGTTAAGTTGGCTTGAAGAGCTTGAGTTTATGACGTCAGCACTTCGCCGACTGTATATCTGCTAAAAAATGCAGTCTGTTCTCTTCGTAGTTTCCCAGATACGGCAGTCTTCGGCACCAATTATCTCAACATGACGTAAACAAACAATAGTTTAGAAGATTTTACAGATGTATCAGTTTTACAACTAACGAATCCATGTATGTATAGCATGGAAATACATAGTACCATAATAAAATATCTAATCAAACCACGAAAGAATATATTCCTCCATGATCAAACATACTGTTGAAGCTCTCATTTCTTATTTTTAATTTGCTCTTGTTTTATTACCATTGAGCACTAAGGTGGTGATATTAGATATTTTCAACACGTTTAATCGTATATATATATATATATATATATATATACATATATATATATATTAACCGTGTATATATATGCATATATACTTATATAATATTATTATATAAGTATATATATATACTTATATAATAATATTCTAATATTTGATTATATATATTAAACTTTTAGGGATGAAATGGATGTTGAATATCGGTATTTAACTGACAAGATTTTAACATGCAATGTGTATAATATAAGAAATCTAGTGGAACTTAACGCAACATTGAACTTCACTATATTCGAAAACCTGGTAAGTAAACCAAAAAGTTTGTCATTTAGGTTGAGATTGGCCGAATTGTGTTCCCTTCTAAACTAGTTTGCTTCATTATAAATTATATTATTAAAAATAATAATTATTATTTGAAAAACGGTGAATATCGTGAATATATATTTACAAAAATTGGAGGTTTATCCTTTGAAACTATATAGTTATTCTTAAATAATTGCTTTCTTTGAAGATATTATTTTTTTTCAAATTTCCATTTTATAAATCTTTTAATGGCAATATATTTGCTTCATTATCAAATATTAAAATTGCAATAGAAATTTTGGCGGTAATATTTCAATGCACTTAACTATTATGATTATATTATTTTTTTCAGAATATTTCAATCACACAAAGTAGGCACGAAGACGTAGAGCCAATATGTCTGTATTTCGATGAAACACGCTGGTAAGCAATTCCTTGTGGCATAGTGGTTTTGTGCTCTCACCACCGAGGCCCAGGTCCCTTTCTCGGTGTTGGTAGCAAATTTTTTAACAGAACAATAATTGTAACTGTCAATTTGTATAATATAATGCACAGTTATTTCTGGTTTCAATTTAAAAAATAAATAATTGTATTAAAAATAAAAATAAAAATGAATCTTTAAACAGCAGTATTTATCAGGCTCGGGGACAATTTACGCCTCCAATTGACAGTGATGCTTCATAGGCTTACAGAAAAAAAAAATACACAAAAATCCCGAAATACTGCGTTCCATTGCACCGGCCCGTCGTTAAACTGTGGAACGCCGTTAATGTATAACGATTGCACTGCACTTCATAATGACTGAGCTAGTTTGTAACGGCGTTCCATAATTTTAGGACTTGCCATTATATTAACAGTTTTTTTTTAACCCAAAGTGCTAACTGTGCGACGGAGCAATGCAGAGTTGTGCATGTGTAAGACATGACCGCCGTAGGAAAGCGGCACCTACAGGCTTAGTATACATATTCAACCATAAATACTAGGCCTACACCTGACTAATTATTTCTTTAATAATTATTATTAATAATATTAATAAATTATTATATTAGTCTAGCCAAGAAAAAGCCAAGTGGAGTAACTAATTAAAAAATAAATACCGAGGAATAAATATTTAAATCGAGCCTTAAAAAATACGGGTAACTTAGCCTGCACTCAAAGCGTTAATGTTAAATTAAGGGCGCCATTGAAAACAAGGCTTAGGCGTATTTTGATTGGCTGAATCTACGACAGCTATATTGTTGAGTACCGATACACAGCTCTGCGTTTTGAGAACATCAAATGCATTGGAGTTGTGCCTAGTGTCATTAATATACCTCTATGATTGAACCAAGGTGTTCTAACTGTACAGTTAATGTCTTTGATTGAACAAGACATAAATATAATGTGTGTTTGTGTGTGTGTTTTTTTGTTTATAAATGCCATTCTATTTTTAATGTAATTAAGGACTTGGAGTGATGAAGGGATGATGACAACCTACACGTCCCAGGATCAAGTATCTTGCTATTCAGATCATATAACCAGTTTCACCGTACTGTTGAAAGTTACTAAGATAGAACAGGAAGGGACGCAGGTATGTCTATCTATTTGAGCAGTAATTGCCTTTAATAAAATACAGAAAGTATCCTAATATCAGCATTTCTATGAATACGCAAATCCTGCCTACACGTTCAACTATACTTATACATGCACGTAAGAAGTTAAAAGTTACTAGGGAATGAACAACGATTTTGAACATGTGCATGTGTGTGTTTGTATTTATTCAGTTCATCTTGTTTTATTTATATAGATACCAAAAACGTCTGAAACTGTCAAAGATGCGTTACCGGTGCCGGAAGTACTGAGCTTGTTGTCGCAAGTGTTTCTATCATTGTCACTTATCTTTTTGCTTGTTTCTCTCATCATTTACTGTTCATTTCTGTAAGTTCCATTGATTTTTTAGGATCGTTTATAAAATATTGTGATGTAGAATTATATTATAAATGTAACACATTAATTATACTGATTATACATCCACTCTCTTGTCAAACAGCTGGTAATTATCTTGTATCTGTTAGTTGAGGACAGCGATGAAACTTAACCAGGGATCTAGGCTCCCGATTTTGCACTCAGAGTGTATGTATCCCTATTTTAAAGCTGCGTCGACGCTATTAGATTTTATTTGAGAATTCGGTGTGGTATTCCCATAATAATAATAATAATAATAATAATAATAATAATAATAATAATAATAATAATAATAATAATAATAATAATAATAATAATAGTAATATGGGCATGATGGATTTTGTTTTCTCTCTTGATATTTTACTGAAATTATCCAACTGGACTACAGTAACATATTTTATAGTTCGAATCCGATTGGAGGCATTTGATTTCTATGCAACGGTACACATATACAACACTAGTATTCGACGCACGCACGTGCGACCGTTATCTAATACAATTTTGTATAAGATATATACATAAAGAATTACTCACAAGATGGTTGAGATTTTATCTATTTTTAACAAAACATAGTTATACATATTATTTTAATTTTCAAATTAGGGAACTATGGAGATCACTTCGCAATTCAATCCACAAGAACTTGGTTATTAACATGATACTTATGCAATCGCTGTTTATCTTTGGGATTGAAAAAAATGAGCATAAAGTAAGTAGATCAAACTTGTATGTTGTTTGAAGTACTATATTTTTCCACTTTCACAGTGACACAAAAACTGCATAACATCATGTAGTTGAATTCAACATTCCATGTAGCAGCTAAATGTATGCGCTCACGCAATCTAAAATCTAAAAAATTAAAAATCCCTCGAATAATAAATTGGAGGCATTTGATTTCTATGCAACGGTACACAGATACAACACTAGTATTCGACGCACGCACGTGCGACCGTTATCTAATACAATTTTGTATAAGATATATACATAAAGAATTACTCACAAGATGGTTGAGATTTTATCTATTTTTAACAAAACATAGTTATACATATTATTTTAATTTTCAAATTAGGGAACTATGGAGATCACTTCGCAATTCAATCCACAAGAACTTGGTTATTAACATGATACTTATGCAATCGCTGTTTATCTTTGGGATTGAAAAAAATGAGCATAAAGTAAGTAGATCAAACTTGTATGTTGTTTGAAGTACTATATTTTTCCACTTTCACAGTGACACAAAAACTGCATAACATCATGTAGTTGAATTCAACATTCCATGTAGCAGCTAAATGTATGCGCTCACGCAATCTAAAATCTAAAAAATTAAAAATCCCTCGAATAATAATTCTTAGTACTGTAATTTTCTTCCAGTCCATGTGCACAGTTGTCAGCGTTCTTCTTCACCTCACTTCTCTAAACACCTTCACTTGGATGTGTGGCGAGGCCGTGTATTTGTTTTTCCAAGTGTCCACTTCAGCGTCAAGCAGATTCAATCGTCTACGACATTTTATGGCATTTTGCTATGGAATTCCACTCGTCATCGTTGTCATTTCTACTGTTGGTTTTGCATCAAAGTACAATGTAGATGACGTGTAGGCTATCAATTAATGAACTTTCTATAAAAGTCTAAAAGAACAATTTAGGAAAAAACTCCTTTGATTTTGTTTATTTTTTAATTGACACAAATTAATTAAATCAGCTCTTATTAAAATAAAATAAATTACAAACAACAGTAAATGGCTTTACACATCATTCATAAAAAAACCTTTTAAAATAGTCATTAAACAGTACGGTAATGTTTAATCATATTTTATAATAATTGAAACATGTGCATTAATATCTTGAATAGACGAGTTTACATATACAGTATACCTAAGTCCACACATCAATATTATATAACTTTCATTTCATCACATGATAATAACATGTTTTCTCCTTTTCCAGCTGTTGGCTTAATAAAGATACTGGAACGATTTGGACTTTCGTCACACCTGCTATTTACGTTGTTATGGTGAGAACATCTGACAACTTGTTGATACCTGTTAACATTATATATTGTTTTTAAACCTCATGTATTATATAAAACATATAAACTGTATACGTATAGTCTTGGTCCTGTTTTAGATACCTTTACCACATTTTGTGATGATACCTAAAGTTGGATGTTTCCTAAACGAAATAAATTATTAGACTTTGGTTAAATACAAGATACAACACAATGGCCACGTATATCATTGTAATGAACAAGATGAGTGATATTGTTCAATCTTTACAAGAACTGTACATTGGAACTGTGTTCGAAGACAATTTCTCAACTGGGTATTACATGTTGAAACCTTAATTAATCATGGAAAAACAAATCCTTGTTAAAAAGCATAATTTAAAAATCTTACATTAAAAGTGTTTTAACCTTTACTTTTATTTGCTGGTTTTGTAATATAAGTATTGAATATAAATGTGCGTTACTAAGAATTGGTAACTTAAGCTAAAAATATAACCGAACCATCACTATACTGTAACTGTCTCTCCTCCTTTTGCATTAAACATATTTTAAATAAATGTTATTATGTTTTAAAAAATCCATAACATGCTCCTTTTTCGGAATTCTAGTTGCTACCTCATGGCATCCGCTACCGGAGTCGTGCGTGTAAACAGAACGCATGTTAAATTGGCTTGCTGTACGGTCACCTTGTTTCACTAGTATGAAACAAGTTCAGCTTTTCAAACTCACTTTCAATGTGCGATAACTATTTCATATAGTCCTAATTATATCGTATGAAGATTATATTCATAATATACGATATGGATACGATAACATGTTTTATGGATTTTTCCCAAGCTTACCATTGCTATAATGTGCGTTGTTTTCGAAAAAGTCTACAACAGACCATCCTCTGGAAAATGGGCGGAATCATCAACCAGAGAGCAGGACAAGTTCCAACAATTGAAGTAAATAACTTACGAAACAAATCTTTATTAGGCCTACTTATGTTTGTCTGTTAATCAGCTGTCAATATTATTAATATCCTTATCATAATTATTACTATCAATTTGATTATGAGCATATTATTATGAATAATGATATGTTTAGTAATTATATACTATATTTTACATCTTTATAAAGATGTATGTTGTTGAGAGTATGTCTCTTGAAACAAATGTTATCTACAGGTACGCTGCGTGTGGGACAGTTTTGCTGCTGCCAATAATGGGCACCACGTGGATCATCGGACCGTTTGCATACAGTTCTGATGATACATTCGTCGAACATAGAGATGTAGTCAATGTGCTGAACGCCTTTCAAGGGATCTTGGTATTCTTTATTTACTGTGTATTTGATTATGAGGTAATTATTTGTTTTTAATTACTATTACTAAATGGTCCGTAGCAGCGAATGAAATCCGGTCTCGCAAACTTGAGGAGGTCGGAATTCGAACCCAAGGGTGGCGCCGGTGGGGCGCCAGAGGCCAGCTCCCCCCCCCAACCCCTACGGGAGAGTTGGCCCTCCTGTCTAGGAGAAAAACCACAATTCGTCGGGGAGAAAAAGTATACATATATTTTCTACGTAAGTAGACTCTAAAATCGATTAAATATGTCTTTTAAACCCTAAATTGTTTCCAGTTTCCAGGGCTTCGCCCCCGGACCACTTTCAATATTATTTGAGCAACGTCCAACCACACCCACTTTGCTCTTGTCGGGGACATCTACCTTCTCGTCTCCTCGTCGGGGACATTTCCCCCCTCCCATCGTGAACCTCGGACCACCAGTCGGGCAAATCCTAGCTCCACCACTGTTCGAACCCTCGCTGTATCCATGTGTAAGACACTTTATCTACGGTTGTATCTCTCTCCAGAAGTGGGTGTCTGGTAGGATGCATCACCAGTGTACTGGTTACTGTTGCAGAATATGTGAATCGCCATCATCATCATTATTACTATCAACATCACTTCATTTGTATCATCATCATCATCATCATCATCATCATCATTATCATCATCATCATCATCATTAACATCATCATGATCATCATTTTTATTATCATTAGCATCATGATTATTATTATTATTATTATTATCATTATTGTTATTATTATTAATAATATTATTATTGTTATTGTTTATTATTATTGTCATCATCGTCTACATCATCATCATAATCATCTTTATAATAATAATGATAATTATAATACTTATGGTGGTAATAATAACATTAATAATAATATTATTATTATTGTTATTATTATTATTATTATTATTGTTTTTTTTTGTATTTGCTATTAGTAATACCAATATTAGATTTATAATGTTATTAAAATTTAACAATTTTAATTATTATTTATCGTCTACACATGACTCAGATTAGATTTATTGTTTGTTGCAATTCTATTAATTAGTTTTATCACGGTTTGTTTGTTAATTTCCTTTTTCAGACAAAGGCATGTTTTCAAGCACGTTTCTCGAAAAAAAAAGTAGGCCTAGCTCCAGTAGTGAAATGAAGCAATGTGGTCTGCAAAGATTTATTGCTAGAAGGAATGCAGTTAAGAAGGAAAACTTGTTGGCAGCGTTAAGATGCAAATAATAATAATTGAATCTGTAGCTTGGTGTTAATGTTCCTGCCTTTCAATTTCACGGTTCTGTGTTCAATTCCTGTAAAGCTATAGAAATCTCACGACCCCAAAACATCCCCATTAAGCCTCATAATGGGACATAGTCTATATAGGTGGGCCTACGTAAAGCATTATGTGAATTTGCATGCCTTCTGTAATATAAGTCAGTGATTAATAAAAAAAACAAAACCTTAAGACATATTTTCTAATGTATTTTAATTGTGCATAATTTTTAAACTGTTCAGCGCTTTGATATTATATAAAATGATATTACCATTATTATAATAATACTAATAAAACATGAAGAATAATATAAACAGATACACAAGACCCTTATTGTTAATAATAATAATAATAATAATAATAATAATAATTATTATTATTATTATTATTGTTATTATTATATAATAATAATAATAATATTATTATTATTATTGTGGTTGTTGTTATTATTACTATCAGTTAATTGTCTAATGATCTTTGCTACTGTATTCAGATTGATCCATTGAGATCAATCGGTCTTGCTTCAATTGAATATGTAGACTAATTAGAATCATTACGAATATAATAGACTGTTTTTATATTGATTATTTTTGTACTGTACACTTCGTATTTGATTACATTTTGAATGCTACCAAACTGCTCTTATTATTGAAAATTAAAAGTTTTAAACGTTTTGAAACGTTGCGTAGAATCAAGTTATATTTATAGTTGTATATTGTAAATATTCAATAATGGTCTATAAATTTTTACAAAAAAGTTCGTCATGTTAAAAAGAGTAGGCCTAGTTAAAACCCAAAACATCAAAACACCAATATTAAACAAGTTAAATAGGGATACACTCAATATCACGGACAATTTTCTACAGTTTTAACTAGCAAAAACTGATTTGAGTAATAACTTGAAATCTCCTGTATATATGTAGTAGCTTAGAAGTAGATTAGTTGATTAAAGTGCATACAGGGAAGAACCGAACAACATGGTTTTGTCGTTTATTTTTTAACAAGCGTACCAACTAGCATATCTCACACCATCCATCCAACCAACAAACAAACACCATTTAACACAAAATTCCGTGTCTCATTTTATTTCATTTACTTTTATTGCCAAATATAAGATATAAATTATAAAAATACACATGGCAATAGGAGGTTAAATAGTTTTCTCCAGATCAAGCCATTCCATTTAATTACATGATTCTTTTGGGATTTTATAGAATTCCATGTATAGGTCTGTAAAATATCAAAACACTAGCCAATTAACTTCCATGTTAAAAGTACTAAACCCTGTTGGGGGTACGAGCCTACCCGCACCCACTCTCGGTCCGAGAAAAAAATTTAGATTTGTCAGGGAATTTTTTTTTAAATAATATAATTTTGTGTTAATTATGGGATTCTTTATCAAATAAAGGATAATTAGAAAAGTTAAAAGTCCCCCAGTCGGTGAGTACTAGCCATCCTTTTGGAGGTACTAACCCCCTGTCGGAGGACCAGCTCCCTGTTGGGGAAGAGCTGGCGCCACCACTGCAACCCATACGGTCGCAGTAGTACAACACCTCTCACATACGTTAGACTGCTTGCATTAAACAGTCAAGATTTGATTTTCCCCGACGACGTTGTTGGCCTGGAAATTTCCCGACAGGGGGTTTAAGCGGGGGATCCAGAGGTCCCCGAGGTCCTTTCCCCACTGTTTTTGATCCTATATTTGTCAGGCTGACTTTTGTTCATTGTACTTAAGGACTACAGTTCGGGCATAACAACATATAATTGCCGAAAATTATACTAAATAAGGTTAAATCAATCATGATTGGTATTTTTAAAATCATTGGGCTTAAGTACGATACTATAAAAATCAGCAGAAAAACTCTAGGCTAGCGGAACATGATTATTTCAAACATGAGTAACTATTTCCCAACGGAGGTCCAGCGTTCTCTGACAGGGTTAATTTTGTGCTTACTTGACTTTTACCGTGCACCGGCAAGGGCATTTTCAAATTTTCTGAAATAGAAATACATTTTATATAACAATTCATTCTTAGATTAGTTAGTGTATATCAAGGTGGTATTAATGGTACCGGTGATAGAGATGGTAAAGTTAACGTTGAAGTTGACGTTGAAGTTAAATTAATGTTAGTGCAATTGTATGATAATACCAGGGGCGGATTTAGGGTGCCGACACCGCCCCCTTCCCCCTTTTTCAAAAATAAGAAAAAAAAAATTATAAAAAAAAAAAATTATCACCCAATACGCCTCAGAAGTTTTTTTCAGGCGCATAGAAAACAAAAATTTATAGGGGGCGTGCCTATGGTAGTGTCATCTCGATTGGCCCCACTTTGCCCCCCCCCCCATTTCGGAGGAATCCGGATCCGCCCCTAAATACAACTAGGCTTGCTCAATGTAGGCTTCTGATTGGTCAAATATTTTGGGCTTGATTGACATACTGAAAAATTTAATAAAGGCAATTCTGAGACTATTAGGCCGGATACAATAGCGGTGAACAAAAGAAGGATATTGATTTCAGTAACCGTCTCAATCTCATATTGATTAAACGTTGGGTTTTGTTATTTTATGAATTACAAGTATGCTAGTCTTTATTTGCAATAGGAAGTTGATAAAGAGCCATGGCAACACACTTTCTTCTCGTTCTACAATTTTTGATATTATATCTGCTCCACCTTTGCAGTTCCTGTAAGTACTGTTTTTATTTTAAAAGCTATAATCTACTTCAAATAAGCTACTACGTAAAATGTTTTGTTTTAAAAGGAATTAAATTTATTGAATGGGATGCCTTTATTAAAAAAAGAACTAAACCTTAGATAATATTTTGAGAAAACATAAAAAAAGGTAAATAGGCCTACAGTGTTCGAATATAGGCCATGGTGGTACAACGTGTAGCAGCTCTCAACGAATGTGGTCCTATAAGTAAATACATTGTGTTATTAAATTCGTCAGATGGGATTCGAACCATTAGACCACTGAGTCTTCATGGTTGAACAGATTCAAATAACCGTCAGGGACATTGTATTATACAATGGTGCGTCTGGAGAAGGCGTTAAACCAGATAAATCTGTGGTTACGGCTGGAAATAAATAGTACCATGTTATAAATCAAGATAGCCGTTAACGCTGTTAAATTTTATATAAATCATCAAAGAAAAGTAAAATTATAAATAAATACATTGTGTAATAAAATGTCTCTTGCCGTCAAGGAGAGCGTCATGACCATTACAATACAGAGGCTTCATATATATATATATATATATATAAATATATATATATATATACATATATATACCTATCAAGCCTATGTAGAGATGTAGCTTGGTGGGTAAGATGCTTGACTTCCATCCCAGGGTTTCGGGTTCAAATCTTGTGACATCACAGGAAAACATGGTGACAACATATAATGATGCGAAAAGTCTGAGTAGAGCACAAAATATGTTATTCAAGTTATTCAATTTCTTGTCATAGAATTCATCAGCGTAATTGACTAAAATTGGCTAATACAGATCAGATAATTACAGTAATCGATGTTCGGTAATAGTGATAGCTTTAGAAAGTAGGCCTAGTAAGTCAAATACAATTTATTGTTAGTTTTACGTCCCCGACCTCATCAACTTTTGGAGCATCATGAAAAAAATTACTATTTTCATTATAAAAAAAGAAAAACATTGATTTTTTTTTTTCAAAAATATAAAAATAATGACGATCTTAAAGTGTGTTGTTAAGGCCTAAGAAGAGGTGGGAAAATTAAATGGCAGAATACATTTATAAACCTCATCATTATTCACCACTAGTTAATATCCTCACCAAAAAATAATATCAAATAGGGACATAATTTTATTTTTCCTTAGAAAGACTCAGGTGAATACATTTTTGGTGGGCGGGGGGAGGGGCGAAATAACAAATGTCAAGGCAACGGAGGGTCAATCAAATAACATTAATAATGTGGTCTGTTGGAGGTAGATTAGCATTGTCACCTTTTTTATTTTTTACTACTAATTACTTCTACGTTTAGGATTCATATACAATAATATAGGAAATAAAAAAATGTTTATTTTGTAAAATTCAATTACAGATAGTATGTACTTGTCAGAGACATCATATGGTAGAGTGTATGTTTATGATGGCAGCCAGTGGGGAACCGTCTGTGATGACGGTTTCGGCATAGAAGAAGCACAAGTCATATGTCGACAACTTGGATTCCATAGCGCTGTTACATATTATCAATCCTACGGTGGCGGATCTGGGGCAATATTAATGGACGATTTGGCTTGTACTGGCTCAGAATCCTACATCTGGGACTGTTCATTTCCAGGATGGGGTGTTAATAATTGCGGCCATACGGAGGACGCGGGTGTTAAATGCAGTTAGTATATATGTCTAACCTCTATTTTGAACAAAGGTTATAAGATCTTTGTATTTGAATTATAATTCGGGCACCCACCCCTTCCCCCCCCCCTCATCTTGTGGTAGTACTGCGTTGTTCGTCGTAGGACTACATCGTGTCATCTCTTTGAATTTTTATATTATTATTTTGTGGTAATAATAGGATGGTGAAGAACGTGCGATTCTATGGCTAAGTGGGACTTAAGCCTCTAAGAGCAGGAGCGAACCACATTTTTGCTTTTATACGAACTCATTTGTAATGGTAAATCAGATTAATTTAAATGGTCTATTCACCAATTTTATGATTGCTATGTAAGACTATTTATAAAGGAGATACTGTGTATTCAATCTACTCTTGATTCAAAATCATAGAAAAAAGTGTATTAATTCTATATCGAAAAATTTCTTTATAAATGTAACAATTTTCTGTGACCTAATATATTGTTTTTAGCAATAAATTGCAGGCTACGGTAAGTGTTTAACAACTAACCAATAAGGTTAGAGTGCAGTTTTAAAGCTCTGTCCAAGACTATCAAGTTTTATTTGACAACATGTGATATGCATAAATATAGTCATAATGACATCGTATCATGTCCAAAAAAGAATGAAAAAATATTTAAAAATAACAAAAAAAAAAAAAAAAAATGTTTTTTATATATAAACAGGAAAGAGTATAGAACTTCAAGAGGTCTGACTCTCGGGGTTTCGTTGGAGCGTTCCTATTTCAAAAAGTACTACTACAAACTATAGGGCGTCCTTAAAAGTCGAGTTTCGAACTCTATCAAATAAAATAATATTTATTTGAACTGACATCTTTAAATGGATGGCAGATTAGTGTGTTCACAAGAAAAAAAAAATAGGAAAAAAACAAAAGAAATTTGAACATTGAGGACACAAGTGAATTGACAAAAAAGAAAAAAAAAACACAAAAATTTTAATTCAAATTCAACAAAATTGTGCCTCCTATCTCGCGGTAGTACCTTTTTTAGCGTTTCATTGTGAGAATACAAAATCAAAGCAGTCGGAACTCGTGCAATTCTATGTTCTATGCTTACAGCTACTGTTTACCTGTCTGAGGGCTCGTATGGTAGAGTGCATATCCATTATGGCAGCGAATGGGGAACTATTTGTGATGACGGATTTGGCACGGAAGAAGCGCAAGTTATTTGTCGACAACTTGGATACTCAAGTGCTGTTACATATTACCAAGCCTACGGAGGCGGAAGCGGAACAATATTAATGGACGATTTGGCTTGTACTGGGTCAGAAACCACCATCGAGAGCTGTCCTTTTGCAGGATGGGGCACTAATAATTGCGGTCATACGGAGGACGCGGGTGTTCAATGCAGTTAGTATACAATATATATAATTACTGTATGCCTAAATAATAATATACCTATATTTTAAATAATTAGATAATTTTTACGAATTCAATATTTCATAAAGTTTACTTATTTTTCATAATTTTGAACCTGTAAGCAGAATCAAATAATTGGTAACCATCAGCTTGATTTGCCATAGACCTTTAGTATGTGTCATAGCTATAGTAGGTGGTTTAAATCCAGTAATACCAGGATTATGGTATGTAATGCCATTTCATTAATTATTCATGGGAAAACGATGAAATCGTTTTCTCTACTACCATTTTATAGTTTCTCATGATTATGACGTCATTTGATTTGATTTGTTAATTTTTTTTTATTGTATACACGATAAATCAATATCGAATTGTGCTGGTGTGAAAACTTCTCTTATATCTTTAATTTTCTATATGAACAATTGCTTTTTAGCTTTTTATGATCGTTATCGTCATAGATAAAGGGTCTTTAAAGTGTGTCGTCGCCTAAGAAACGAACTATTAAACAAAATAATGAATATTAAATTCTATTTTATAGCTTCAGAAAATATATGTTCTACAAGTCCTTGCGTTTATGGAGCTTGCAGCGTTACTTATCAAGGAAGTATATATACGTGTTCCTGTAATGCCGGATACTCGGGAACCAACTGTGAAACTAGTAAATATCGTTTATATTGCAATGAAAAATGGGATTATTTATTATATAATATGTCTATTATGGGTATTTTCTGGCAATCAACATGGCAATAGAGAAGAGAATATGAACTATGAGTATTTGACAGATAAGCACCACAGCACGCACCTCAGCTCCATTCATATCGGATCCGAACAGAAATTCGGCCCTTGTTGCCGATGCACTCAACGCCATTGTCCCTATTCTTACACACTGGTTCAATTTTCTGATCGGTTCGGTATAAGTGCAGTTTTACACGGAAATACACATTAAAAAGCATTAAAATTACTTGCAAACATTTGAATTTATTTTGCTACATGATTTTCTGCTGATAAATTATATCGTTATTTTTTGGCGTAGACCCTTAAATAGCCTATGTATATAAAAATGATCGAATAAAAGATTCCCAGCAATAATATCAGAAAATACAATTTAAAAACATGTGTAAAATGTACAGTAGGCTTATAACATTTTAAAGATATATTTTATCTATTGGTTTTGCTGTTAAAAATTCGAATAGAACTTGGTACTAAAGAAGTTCAATATCGGTTAACTCGAGTGGTATTAATTAATTTTAACTTGCTGGCTATAAATGTATGCATTTTTGCATCATGAAATTAGAAAGAAGCTAAAGGTTGACATACGCAATGTTGATACTTTTTGTGAAAATTAACATGAGCAATGAATTACGTGTTTTCAATACATCTCAAGTGTTCTTAACACATTTTACCCCATACAATCTGAAAACAAATGAATAATTCATTTTTATAAAGAATTAAGCTTAAAATGTATTCTGCTTAGTTTTACATACCGTGATATTTCATGTGTTTTTTAGATAATGACGACTGTGTGACGAACTCATGCGTTAATGGAAATTGCATAGACGGAGTTAATACTTACACATGCTCGTGTTACAGCGGCTATGATGGAACATACTGCAACAATGGTAAGGCCATAACATAATTGACGTCATCATAATTGAGAACCTACTTATACGCAATGTCCACGTCATAAGTTTGTTTTCTATACTTTGTATCATTGATAGTTTTAAATTAGATCCACTAGTGATAGTGGGGCAACTTATCAGATGGATGTGGATATTCTGGACAAAAGCACCAACTTTTTTAACATGCTCATAATGGTCATAACATTCAATTTTTGATAGGAACTTTTTCATCCGAAGTCATTATCAGTGGTGAATTTGAATTAGATATATATATATACTGTCTCTTATACACATCTAGATGTGTATAAGAGACAGGTACTGGGTTCTTTATAGTGCACACAAGCCATTGT